TAAGTGTTTCACAGCTTGCCTCAGGCTTTCCTTATGTTTTCGATAGGAAATCGAAGTTTAACTTATGGAAAAAAGTGGTTTCGTTCCTTATTTGGGGTTCCTTAGGTCAACGCCCCGACTGTATGGACCTTGTCAGGTGAACTCCTCGAATTCATCGGGGGACGAAGCAGGTTTCCCACTGAACTTACGGGAGCCCTGACGAGTCGCATTGGGGGGCGTTTCATTAGCATCTCATCATAAACAGCATCGGCATCCGCATCATCATTAGCATCAGCAGCATCATCCACATCATCATCATCGTCATCATCATCATCAGCAGCAGCATTAGCACCGTAATCATAACAATCACAACCGCCAACATCAGCAACACCACCACGATCATCGACCATCGTCATAATCGCCATCACCATCATTCCATCATAATCAGAATGATCCTCATCAGCAGCATCATCATCATCTGCAGCATCATCATCAGCAGCAGCATCATCATCTTCCGCCTCCTCCTCTCCTTCTTCGATCAATGCCAACGTCAGGGGGGAAAGGCTCAGGGTGGGGGACGCATCGACCCCCAATCGCCCAGTGATCGTTGTTAGGGTCCCGATGAGTCCAAGGGTAGTCGGCTCGATTCAACTCGAATGGCCCCCGAGCCGAACAAGTCCTAGTAGTCCTTACAGTTGAGCTCCTCCAGTTCATCGGGGGGAGAAATAGCTGAGCTTGTCGGTATCTTGAAGAACCGCATTGGGGAGGCGCTTCATTATCAGTATCCTTCTCTGCCTCCTCCCCTCCTCCGATCAATGGCAACGTTAGGGAGATCAAGGGCAACGTTAGGGAGGATAAATAGGCTCAGGGGGAACGCATCGACCCCCAATCGCCTATTGATCGACAAACTCCTCCATATGGTCTGCCCCGCCCAGGACCCTGCGGATTCGCTGTCGGGGGCCCATCGCCAATCTATCGACGAGGTAAATCGCCGACTACAGGTCGATGTCCCCCCCCCAGAGCCAGTCCCCCCTTGTCGATGCCCCTCAGGGCCGAGACTCGAGGACTGAGGATCGAGGATCGAGGCTTGCACCTCCTACCCGATGCCCCCGCCCGTCTGCCGCTGCCGCCTCATCTCCTGTTCTCGTGGAAGGAAGAGCTCGGCATGAGCGCAAACATGCGCGCGGAGTCCTTGGGTCGGCACGAGGCCAAGAGGGCCCCAGGGGCTCCAAAGCGGAGCACAAAGCTGGGGACAGCTTTGGGCCAGGGACATCTCTAGCAACCCGCGACCAGGCCCCCTCCTCTCCCCGTCCCTTCCTCCGGCGCCGCCGCCGGCGCGTTCCGCCGGGGAGGAGGGTCCAGCGCCGATCCAGGAAATCCGAGTAGTCATCCGACAGGTTCATGCCGATGTGTCTTAACCTACGTTCGTTCGTGGGTCGTGTTCCCCTGGTCGTGATCCTCTGGGGCGGGCTGGGCTGCGCGTGGGACTTTCTGCAGTGGGCCGTTCCTTTGCTGTGCCATCGCGCCTGCTGGAGCGCGGCATCGCCAGCGATGTTGTATCCTCCTCCTCCCCCTCCTCCTCCTCGTCCTTCTCCTCCTCCTTCTCTTGGGGAAGGCTGAAGCGTTCTGAGGCAGGAAAACGAGCTGCTGTCCTACAGCCCAGGGGGGGGCAAAGCCTAGGCCTTGGTAGAAGAGGGAGGAGGAGGAGATGCAGGAGGAGGACGAGGAGGAGGAAGACGGGGAGGAGGAACCTGTCACCAAAGCCGCCTCCCAATTGTTTGCCTGCATCATTACTTAATGATTTACTTCGTTTAACTGTTTACCGCAGTTCTCGACTGTTCATGTCCCACTGCGCCTTACAAGCGTTGCCTGCTCTGCTATCTTCTTTGCATCCATCACCCTTGATACTGCTAGCCTAAACCAAGCTGTGGGACGGGAGATTGTTACACTTGGGTAGGATGTGGCCAGGTGAGGCCACTCTACGCCCAGGCAGCCGTTGCTTCGTTATTGCAGTTGCACGCGTATCAGGAGGGGAAAAAACACAGACACAATTAATCGTCGACTTCCCAGAAAATATGAGAAAATATGGGAAATGGGGGGAATACGAAAACCCCCAAAATATGGGAAATATGGGGAATTGTTTTATCTGTGTGTATTTATGTGTGTGTGTGTGTCCTAGGGCCCCTTCAGCGTATCTCGGTACTCGGTTCTTCAGCTGTTCCCGCTCTGTTATCCTTGTCAGTTTACTTAGTTCATAGTTCTGGCTGTTATCACCTCCCTCCCTACGGCAGCCGCCTAGTTACTCTTAGCCCCCAAGGGCCACACGCTTTTACCGTAGCTCTTCGCACTTCCGTACCCGCACTGGCGGCTGCCTTAATTTGATTGTCAAGGCCTAAGTCGGCGATGTTATTCCTTGAGGCTTAGCATTGTTTTTATGGACGCAACAAGCTCTTCTCTTCATGTCCGATCAACGTCAAAAAGGGGGAGGATGAGGAGGAGGAGGAGGAGGAGGAGGACCAGTGCTAACCCGAGACGCATCAACGATGTTGCAATACCAAGCTCATTTTTTCATGGGTCCCTACAGGAATGCATTTTCACTGCGGGAAGTGCCCCATTGGACGACAGCCGTTTGTGATTCCCCAGACTTGCCAAAACACAAGTGGTGGGACTTCAGCGCCGCGAATCAACGCGACTGTTGCGTCCTGACAGTCATGTGCCCTGAGCCGTGCCAGAACGCCATTCCTAGGATTTCAACGCCTCGGAACAGCTTGACGGTTGCGTCCTTGACAATCCTAAATCGCACCAGAAAGCTATTCTTGGGATCTCAATCATACGATCATTTGAAATTGCTGCTAACGCTCAAGGCGACTTCACGCGGCGCTCAGGCGAGAGCCACGTTTTGAAAAAGAACCGCCCTCCATCCGAGAAACAGTTGCAAACTTTGAGACAACTGCGCGCGGCGCTAAGGCGAGAGCCACATGTTGAAAACGGGCGGCCCCCAATCCGCGAAACGGCTCCAAGCTTTCACTGCGAACACGCGCGGCGCTGAGGCAAGATCCACATTTGGAGAAGGGCCCGGCCTCCATCCGCGAGGCCACCGCAAATTGTCTAGGAATAACATGCGGAGGCAGACTCCATATACACCGACGCTCTTCCCGGCCCCGCACTGACATCCGCACAAGGAAGCGGATCCTGGTGTATACGGAATCTTGGTGTATACATTTTGCGGTGTTTCCCTGGGGGAACGGGGAAACAGGTATACACCACACCACCCCGACGTCGTCCCCAGCCCTCAAAAAAATCCTGGGATTGAAAAACGGCCCGCCACTGGTAATGCATACGTTCCAGTTTCCGATCAGATGGACGGCGTTAAGGCGAGAGCCACCTTTTGCAAAGGATCCGCCTTCCATCCGTGAAGCTGTTGAAGGTTTCAAGTTTCAGGATCAGCTACGGTGGGGAAACCTCCGGCGGAACGCCCGGTCCGCCTTGCTGACACGTTTCGGGGTGCGCCAGGCGCCAGGGAGGTTTTGTTTATGAGGAACAGGAATTGAGGAGCGATCAGGAAAGGGAGGGAGGAGGAGGAGGAGGAGCGAGGAGCGAGGAGCAAGGAGCGAGGAGCGAGGACAAGCGAGGAGGCGGAGGTGGAAGAGCAGGAGGAGGATATCGGGGAAGCAACGAAGCGCTTCACAGTGGCCCTCATCACTGATTTCATCCGCATTTTCTCTCCAATGCAATGTGCGTGATTTGTTGTTGCTCGATGGAGTTCAGAATTCGGAACGGTGGGTGGAGGCAGCTTGTAATCTGTCATTCTGAATTCGAGCGTCGCATTCACACTTCGGATCTGGCTGCGGCGCCCGCCAGGTTGGCCAGAGGGGGTTACCAGGAAGCTTGGCCAGGGTGTTGCCAGACGGTTGGCCAGACTCTGGTCAACTGTCTTGCCGCCAGAGCAGGTAGTCAGCAGGTATGCTATTTCTCGTTCTCATTCTCATGTGACCAAGTGTCTCACTCCCAGTTTTGAAACGCCTTCTTGGCACGTCATGGGCGCCCAACGCTTGAAAACGGCAAGTAGGTGCGTTCGAAATCTGATCCTTCCGAAAAGGGTGTTATGTCGATTATTCGACGATCATACGATGATGGGGTCCAACACGCTGGGGACCGCTTGCCTCGCGGTCCTTGCCATTGACCGCCTGATGATTGGCCGTCGTGCATTTTATTTCTCTGCTCGCGGACCCGTGTCATCTCTCTGGGCCTCCCGACAGATCGCACATGCGACCGCCGTGCCAACACGAGATCTTGTCGCTCGAACACAGAATGAGTCCCGCACGAACGCGAAAATGCAACCGCGCGAAAACGAAGCCACTTCCCCACGATCACGAGCGTGCTCCCGCACGGCACGAAATCATTTCAGCACGAACGCGAAATCAGACACGAAATTCCACGCGATATGAATCGCGTGAAAGGCGATGCACAAATGGCTCAGGTCGTGTTTGCCTCTCTGGGGCGCTCGCGGCGGGTTTGGGCCCTCGCAGCCCCTGGGATCGATTCCGGGGTCCCTTCGTGTAGCCAGCTTGGGCGTCAGCTTCTGCGGCCAACCTCACGCGGTCAACCCAGGGGCAGCTCTCCTTGCAGTCGAAATTGATGGCAGGGACGGGCAACCTTCCCAAGGAGGAGGAGCAGGAGGAGGAGGTCGTTCTGCCATGTTGTTCTACTTTGGCGTCCGAGGGGCTTGCATCTTTGTCGCGCATCCTTCCCATTCTTCCGTCATCTTCTCCGGCGCCCCCTCCTGGTCGCCCTGGAGCCGCCGCAGGGCCGGATCGCCCACGAGTGCAGGGCGCGGGGGAGGGGGGGGGAAGGCGTTCCCGCTTGGCGCTGGCACGGGATGCTGGCCCAGGGCACCCGCCCCCCGACCCTTCGAGTCTCTTGTCGGACGGGGCGCCGCTGGGAGTGTCCAGTCGTGCTCCGGAGTGATGTAAACATACGGGCACGAAGGATCGTCCTTTCCCGGAAGACATGGAAGATATGGGAAGTGGAGGGGAAGACGAAGCTCCAGGAAATGTTGAGAAAACAGTGGGAGCATTGGGATTTGTGCCTATTTATTTTTGTGTCCCTGGGCCCCTTCATTTCAAGGGGTCCGGAACGAGGCGCTCGGGTGTCACGGGAGCTTACCCTCCCCACAGGTGTTTCCGTTCGGCTCCAAGTGTGTGCGGGGGGAGCGGGGCGGCAGGCGGAAGGGGGGATGATGGGGGGAAGAGGAGGATGGAGAGAAAGAAGAGAGAGAGGAGGGGAGAAGCAGGTGGGAGGAAGGAGGATGGAGAGAAGGAAGAGAAAGAGAGAGAGAGAGACGAGAGACGAGAGACGAGAACGACGGGGAGGAAGACAAGAGGGCAAGGAGGAGAAGGCGAAGGAGGAAAAGTGTGAGGAAGAGGGGAAGTAGAATAATGAGGAGAAGAATGGCAGAAAGGAGATGGGACGTGCGCGTGGACCCCCAAGCAGTGAAAATGTAGCTTGCCGCACGGGTCAGGGACAGACGGCGATGGGGCGGGCGCAAGGAATTCCTGGCAGCGGGGGGCAACTAGTATGTCTCAACAACACCTTTTTCGGTGCAGGCACTGCTTGGGGGAAAGAGGTGGTAGCAGCGAGACCGAGGAGGCGGGGAAGAGGAGGGGTCGGAAGAGCAAAGGGAGGAGGGACGAGCAAGAGGAGGAGGAGGAGGAGGAGGAGAAGAAGGAGGAGGAGGGGAAGGAGGAAGAAAGGGAGGAGGAAGAAGAAGGGAAGAGGGTGACGAGAAGATGAGGGATGAAAGAGAAGGAGGGAGGGGGAGAAGGAGGCGTCCAGAGGTCTTAGAGCCTCCAGAGGCCGCTGGAGACCAAAGGATAGGGGGAGGAGGAGGACGACGACGAGGAGGAGGAGAAAGAGAAAGAGAAAGAGAAAGAGAAGGACGAGGACGAGGAGGAGGAGGAGGAGGAGGAAGAGGAAAAGGTAGAGGATGAGACAGACCAGACGGCGGAGGAGCAGGAGCAGGAGCAGGAGCAGGAGGAGGAGGAGGAGGAGGAGGAGGAGGAGGAGGAGGAGGGAGGAGGAGGAGGAGGAGGGGGGAGGAGGAGGTAGGAGGCGCGGGGAGGAGGAGCCAGCGAGCAGCGAGGAGGGGGCGAGGGGGGAGGGGGGGGGAAGGAGCACGGCGCGGCCTGCCATCCACCACCACCCCCAGCCCCCCCCCCCCCCGCGAGGAGGACCGAGATCAGGACCTGGCCCGCAGACGGCCCTCTGGACCTCCCGCTGCCGCAGGAGAGAGCCCGCTCGGGCGGGCACGGCGCATGCAATCGAAGCGCATGCCAGGAAACACCGTGTGAAACCCTGCGTGCCTCCAGGGTGCCCTGGGCTTCTCAGGTTCCGATGGTTTCGCGATGGAAAGCGCGACGCTCCCACACCAAAAATCAGTGGACGCCCTGGGGTCGGTTTCTTGAGGTCGAGCTCCTACTGCTTGGCATCGCTCGGACGTGTGCATTTTTCTTTCGGCGAGGACCATCGAGGAGCATCCTTGATCATTTGGCGAAAAAACCACACACGAAATCAAAAAAAACACAGGGAATGGACGTCCGAGCGATGGCCAGACTGTGCGAAGCTCCGTCTTGGAGGCCGTCGCGTGGCCGTCTGGAGCGGAAGACTCCCTGCCGGTCGGGCGCCTCGGATGGCCGGCGGGCTGGGCCGAGACGTGCCGGCCAAGCGATCTCGAGGCCATCCTGGGGGCGTCTCGGCCCGTCCTGGAGACGTGCTGGGGCCATCTTGGGCCCTCTCGGGGCCATCGTAGTCGTCATGGAGGCCATCTTGGCCGTATTGGAGGCCACTTGGGGGGCCGTCTGGAGCAGACAATTCCTTGCCAACCTGGTATTTCGGGTGGCCGGCGGGCTGGGCCGAGACTTTTTCTTGGGATTTTTTTAAAAGAAGATCCAAGGCCATTAAGAAATTGGGCATGCCGTGCACCCCTGTGGTTAGCCACAGTGGAAGGCGGATCGCAGACGCCTACGGCGAATCCCCGCCGCCCCCTGCCATCTGAAAGCGCCTATGTGGCCGACCGTTGCGGCCAGAGCTCGGCCAAAGTGTCGGGCTACGTGCTCCCCCTGCCGCTGTGGAAACCTTACGGGGAGCACGTGGGGGAGAAAGAAGAAGATGAGAGGGAGGAACAAGGAGGAGGAGGAGGAGGAGGAGGAGGAGGAGGACACGCTGTCTAGTGCCATCCCCTTTTGTCATCGCCTTCTCCCTGACCCAGTCACAATATAGCTCAACATGGCTTCCAACGTGCTCGAAGAGGCCCCAAGACCGCCCCAAAGACGGTTCCAAGTGGCCACGAAGTTTCCTAATGAAGTCACCAAGAAGCCAAAATCCTTGTTAGAATTACCCGAAACGAACCCAATCCCTCCTCCACGCGAGGCGACGATTTGTGTGAACGTTCCACGCAAAAACAAATCGCGAAATATGCACGACTGGTGTTGCCCTGCACTCCGCTCTGCCTCCCAGGCGCCCACGAAAGTAGCGACAGCTGCGCAGTTCTCAGCCCCCCAAGGGGGCCGCGAGGTCTCAAATGGATCCCCGCTGCCCTCACCTCCGCCGTGCCTCCCAGGTGCCAACGAGAATGGCGACAGTTGCACAGTTCGCAGGGTTATCAGCGAGGTCTCAAATGGATTTTCGCCGCCCTGACCTCCGCCGTGCTTCCCAGGAGCCCCCGAAAGTAGCGACAATTGCGCAGTTCGCAGCAGCCCAGGGAGCAGCGCAGGAGGAGGGGGAAGGCGAAGGAGAAGGCGGATAGCACAATGCTCTATTCGAAACGAAAACCAGCTCAGAAGAGTTCGGACAAAGAACTACGTAAAAACCAGGAGCGTTGCTTCTCGACGGCCCCCTGAGGCTCCAAGATGGCTCGAAGAAAGCCCAAGAGGAGTCTAACAGGGTTCCAAGACGACCCCAACAACGTTCCGTGGGGGGGGTCCAACAGGCGATTCAAGGGGCTCTAAAAGGGCAAGGCTAATCCGGGCCCCTCCCTTCTTCGATCGATCTCCTCCAAGATGGCCCCCAAGAGTGCACCAGGAGGCGCCCCCTAGAGCGCCCCAGGAGGCCCCCGAGAGGGTCCCCGAGACGTTACCCAGGGGTCCCCAAAAGGCTCCCCTGAGGCACCCAAGATGTTCCAAGAGTCCCCTGGGACCGCCAGGAGGCCCCCAAGGCGCCCCATGAGAACTCCAAGATGCTTTCAAGCGGCATCCGACGATATTCCGAAAAGCATCTAAAAGGCTTCTGGCTTGTTCTGCTCGACCCCTTTCATCATATTATTTCTCATCATCCGACTATGGATTATCATCCCTCCTCCTACTCCGATTCCTCCTTCATCCTCCCCCTCTTGAAGTACGTTGGATTCCCCGGCCGTTTATTACAATGCATGCTATTACACGTCCCTGATCAGGGCAACTCGCTTGGGCATCGTTCATGGATAGGCTGGCGGAATTACGCGAAGCGTCTAGACTTTGAGAAATTGGGACCCTGACCGCTTAAGACCCAACTGTTCTTCGAGAATCGATAACGGAATGGGACATGGAGGGCGCTGATCAGGGCAAAGTTCATGGATACGGAATTACGCGAAGCGTCTAGACGGACCGCTTAAGGAGAATCGAGACTGGGGGAGGGATGAGGGTACTTCGCGGCGTGGGAGGAGGAGAGAGGAAGGGAAGGAGGGAGGGAGGGAGGGAGGAGGAGGAGGAGGAGGGGAGGGGGAGGGGGAGGGGGACGAGGAGGAGGAGGAGGAGGAGGAGAAGGAGGAGGAGGAGGAGGAGGAGGAAGGAGGAAGGGGAGGAGGAGGAGGGAGGAGGAGGAGGAGGAGGAGGAGGAGGAGGAGGAGGAGGAGGGGGAGGAAGACGCAGGAGGAAGGAGGAAGAGCCCCCCGCCCACCCGCAGCGGGCGCGCCAGCCGGCAGGACCGGCTCGCCGAGGCGCTGAGGCCCATCCCCTCAGGGGGGGCGGGCTCGAGCCGGCGTGCTGGGGAGCCCCTCGTCGTAGGCGCCCAAGGGGGAGGGGAGGTGATGATCAGAGCAGGTCCCTCGTTCTTTTGATTTCCCCAGATTTCCCAGATCAGAGCAGGTTTCCCCAGATTTCATGGCCCCTCTTCCGATTTCAATACGTTCCATGCCCCCCCCCCCTGGCCCGCGCACAATCGCGCACACGCCTCGGGCAATGACTTGCGACCCCCCCTCTTGGACGCCCCCGACCTCGGGGGAAACGACAGGGTTCAGGGAGTGCTAAGTCCAGACCTTCGGCGGCCCCAGGCACGGCAGGGCCATTTTCTGTTGTCTTCAGAAACTTCTTGTGCGGAACATCAAACGGTACAAGCATGTCCTTGGGGAAACGCATATACACATGCATACAGATATGTATGCATATGTAAATATGTCTATGTATACATATATAAATGTGTGTGGTACCGGAGAAAACCCAAACATAGTTCTGTTAGCGCTATCGGGCCATAGGGCGATAGGGCTATAGGGCTATGGGGCTATGGGGTTATAGGGCTATAGGGCTACAGGACTGTAGGGCTATAGGGCTACAGGGCTATAGAGCTATCGGACTACAAGGCCATAGGGCTATTGGGCTATAGGGCCATAGGGCTATAGGGCAGTTGGGCTATAGGGCTATAGGGCTACAGGGCTGTAGGGCTATAGGGCTATGGGGCTATAGGGCTATAGGGCTATAAGGCTATAAGGCTATGGAGCTATTGGGCTATAGGGCTAGGGCTATGGGGCTATAAGGCACCCGAGCACGCGGGCACCCGGGCGGGCCGCGGAAATCGGCGTCACACCTCACCTAACCATATGAATCCGCCAGGACTCCTACAGAGGCAAGCTCTGATTGGGGAACAGTTACATAAGCCTGTGTATATACATACACATACATATATATATATATGTGTTATTATATATATATATCAACACGCATACATGCATGCATGCATACATGCAGGAATGCAATACATGTATGCAGGCAGGCAGGCAAGCAGACAGGCTGACATACATGCATACACACAGACATACACACGCCCATGCCCATATATATGCATGCATGCATACATACATACTTACATCCACATACATACACCTACATACACACACGCACACGCGCACGCACACGCACACGCGCACGCACATACATACATACATACATACATACATACATACCTTCGTTCACACATTCACACATGCATTCATACACCATACATGCATGCATACATACATGCATGCATACTTACATACAGAGACATACATACACGCATACGCACGTACATACACACATACACCAACATACACAAATACGTACGTACATACCTACAAATATAAACACACATACATACGTAAATACACAGGCATACATACACGCACAAATATGCATACATGTATACATATATACACACATACACACGCACATGCACACGCATACATACAGACATACACACACACACACACATACATACCTTCGTTCACACATTCGCACATGCATACATAGACACACATACATGCATACATGCATACATACGTACATACATACATGCACGCCCACGCGCGAGCACCGCTGGGTGACGGCCGGCGACTTCGTGGTGTGCCGCGTGTGCGGGGCGTTCTATAGGTGCCGAGCTCGACGGGCCCTGGATGGCTGCACAGGCAAGCTCACCAACGCCCCGAGGGACCAGGCGCGGCGCCGACGCCGAGACCGATTGCTGGATGGGCGCAACCCCTACACGGGCGTTGCGATGGGCGGCGAGGTCGTGGAGGGTCGCGCCCGCGACGCCTGAGAGGCCCGGTGAGGAGGCACCGAGGTCGGTTTTCCTGTGGGTCGGGCCTTCGGGAATGGGGCCTGCCCAGCCCTTGTGCGCAGGGGCCCGCGCGCAGGCGCAGGCGAGCCGTGGCGGGGCGCTGACGCCCCACGGCCGATGGAGGAAGGAAAGAAAAATACACACACACACACACACATACGCACGCGCACACGCACACGCACATACATACATACATTCCGCCACACACACACACACACACACGCATGCGTGCATAGTTGCAGACATTCTTGTGTGCAAAGTTACACGCAGACACACGTACATACGTACCTACACACACAAACACCCATATCATACATGCAGGCTTACATACACACATACATACATACGTACGTACGTATTTCCGTACATAGATCTATGTATACGGAATCACACAAACATACATGAATATGCACGTACGTACGTAGGTAGGTGCGTACGTACATGCATGCCCACACAAACGCACATACACATACATGCACACATACATACATACGTACGCACGTACGTACGTACATGCATACGTGCACACAGGCATACATACATGGATACACACATACGTACATACATACACACATACATATATGCGCACGTACGTACGTACGCACAGACATACATGTACACATGCGTACATACACACGGACATGCATGCATACATACATACATGCATACCTATACGACCACCCTTCGGGTGATAAGGAGGTTCGGGGGGGGGAACCAACGTCTCACTCGATCGGTCTCACTATCGATCTCAGTATCGATCTCACTATCGGTCTCGCTCGATCGATCTCACTCGATCGATCTCACAATCGATCTCACTCGATCTATCTCATTTGATCGATCTCACAATTGATCTCACAATCGATCTCACAATCGATCACACAATCGATCTGGCATTCGGTCTCAATATCGATCTCACTATCGATATCACAATCGCTCTCACAATCAACGTCATCATCATCATCATCATCATCATCATCATCATCATCATCACACATCATCAACATCAACATCATCACCAACATCGTCATCATCATGAGGGCACCGTCATCATCATCATCATCATCATCATCATCATCATAAACATCATCATCAACGTCAGCATCATCATCGGGACAACATCATCATCATCACCATCATCATCTCATCATCAACATCATCATCATCGGGACACAGTCATCGTCATCATCATCAGCAGCATCAGCAGAATCATCATCATCATCAACATCATCAACATCAGCATCATCACCAACATCGTCATCATCATGAGGGCACCGTCATCATCATCATCATCATCATAAACATAATCATCAACGTCAGCATCATCATCGGGACAACATCATCATCACCATCATCATCTCATCATCAACATCATCATCAACATCATCATCATCGGGACACAGTCATCGTCATCATCATCAGCAGCATCATCAGAATCATCATCATATTCGGGACACCTTCATGATCACCATCGTTCTCATCATCAACCTTATCATCAGCATCGTCATCATCCTCGGGACACCATCATCATCATGATCATCGCATCATCATCATCGAAATCATCATGATCAACAACATCATCATCATTGGTGCACCATCATCATCATGAGCAACATCATCATCAACATCGTCATTATCATTATTATCATCATCGGGACACCATCAGCATCATCATCATCAGCATCAGCATCATCATCGGGACACCATAATCATCATCAACATCATCATCATCAACATCATTATCGCCGGGACACCATTTCCATCAACATCATCATCACCAACATCATCGGAATCATCATCATCATCATCATCATCATCATCGGGACACCATCATCGTCATCATCATCAACATAATCATCATGAGCATCATCATCCTCATCATCGGGACACTATCATCATCATCGACACCATCATCAACATCATCATCTCATCGGGACACCATCATCATCATCTCATCATCATCATCTCATCATCATCATCATCATCATCATCATCATCATCATCATCATCATCATCATCATCATTCATCATCATCATCATCCTCGCGGGACACCGCGGGACACCGGCGGGACACCGCGGGACACCGCGGGACACCGCGAGACACCGGCGGGACACCGCGGGCCCCCGGCCGCCCGGAGGGGAGTCATTTGGTCCGGCCGCGCCTCAGCCACACGGGACACCAGCGGGACACCGGCGGGACACCGCGGGCCACCGGCCGCCCGGAAGGGAGTCATTTGGTCCGGCCGCGCCTCAGCCACAGGAGATTTTCTCTCGCCCGCCCACGCAGCTTCGCCTCGCCCGCACGGCACGCACGAAACCGAAATCGATTTCCCGGTAGGGGGGCTCTCCGTTCCACTTCGATCTCACCCCCCAACCTCCGACATGCACCCATACATACATACCTACGCACGAACGTGCATATATACATGAACACAGACATACATATATACATGCACACATACATGAATACATACATGCATATCTACGTACATACGCACATGCATACGTACATACGTACATACGTACATATATACATACAAACAGACATACATGCATACGTGCATGCACACATGTATACATAAATACATACATACGAACGTCCGTACATACAAACATACACACAGAGACATACACACATACGCACGTATACACATGCATACATACATACGTGCGTACGTACGTACATGCGTACATACACATACACACATATATACGTACACACACGCATGCATACATACATGTGGGACGTACGTACGTACGCACATAGATACACACACAGACATACATACATACGTACGTACATACACACATACATGCCATGCACTCATACATACGTACATACATACATACATACGCGCACACATACATACGTATGTACGTACGTACACATACATACGCACATACATGCATGCATACATATATGATGCAGACATACACAGTTATACAAACATGCATGCACGCATACATGCTTACGTACATACGTACTCATGTACATACGTACACACATACATACATGCATACATCACACCAAGACATACATGCATACGTAGATACATACACATACATGCACATATACATACATGCAGACAGAAAGACCGACAGGCCTACATGCATGCATGCACACATGCACATACATACGTGTTTGCGTGCATACATACATGCACGCACACATACATTCAAACAGACAGACATACGCACGTACGTACGTGCATGCATACACACATACATACATGCATACACAGACATACATACATACAGACATGCATGCATAAATGCACACATACCTACACGTATGTATACGAGCATCTGTTGATACATACGTACGCACATACATACATGCATTCGTTCACACATTCACACATGCGTACATACAAACATGCGTACATACATACATACATACATACATACATACATACATACATACATACAGATACACATACCTACGTACAGTTGCATTTCCATCCTTACATACATACATGCACGCCTACATACATACATGTTCAGGAATTGGAAGTGGAAACGGAACCAGAAAAAAATACGACGGGACCAGAAAACAAACGGGACCACAATTGGCAAACTTTGGGAAGAGGAAAGTAGAGCGAAGTAGAGAGAAGTGTTTCGTCGTTTCCAGGGCCCGCTACGGCCCAGGCCTCCGACGACCTTCTTGCGAAGGCTTGACGGCTGGCGCCGCCGACCCTGAAGGGGGACGACGATGACGACGACGACGACGACGACGACAGCGACAGCGACGACGAGGACGACGAGGACGACGACGACGACGACGTCGGCGGCGGCGGCGGCGACGACGCTGACGTGGGTCAGAGTTCTCAGGGATGCTTCGTGGGGTCTCTTCGGAGCGCTCTCGTGGACCTCTGTGGGGCAGTTTCGGGGCCTCTTGGGAGCATCTTGGAGGCCCCATCGGGGGCCTCTTGGGTGCCTCTTGGAGCTTCCTGGGAGCTTCTCGGGGTCGAGGGCTCGAGATATTCGCTCGGGTCCCCCATCTGGGCACCCTCTTGGAACCGTCTTGGGGACCTCTTGGGCTGTCTTGAAGGCCTCTTGGGGCGACCTTGGGGGCATCATGGGCCGTCTTGGAGCGTCGGGAAGCCGAAGAGGCAAGAACGCCAAAATCTATGAAATACCCAATGGAAATTAAGCTTTGTCTTTTGGGGCCCTCTCGGAGGT